TACCCGGTAATCGCAGGTCGTCCTGTGAGACTTGCTTGTCAGGTCATGTTATCCTTAACTGTCTGAATTGTAACTTCACGAGATATTGGTCTGCTTCTTGATCGGAGATGCAATATTAGTGCAAAGATGATCAACTTTGCTTCCAGTAACAAGAAGAATTATTTGAGACTAACATAAGATCGGCTTCAGTTAGGAAACTAGCAAAATGTGGCATTTCGGTATCTCTCTTTCCCGCTAAATTAGTTTTGATCATAAAAGGTAAAACATACTGTCAGCAATGAGTTCAATACCTATCGGAAGCGTTTTTCTGATAAGGGACATTTCATTATATTGGCTCTTGGTAATGATTAATAATCGGTAGCGGTGAATATAATGCGGTTCTTAGTAGTGCAGCCAAATATTTCCACTACAGCTATGGGATGCCCCAATGTGTAAATATCGTAAAAACTTCGTTCCTGGACTAATGCGCTTTTGAAGTATTGTTAACTCAGTAAATTTCCACTCTTAGAAATTCCCTTTTGTAAGAATGGCATTAAAGAATAAATGGATGCTACCCGGGTTTTCTTTATTATTACTTGAACATTTCCTCCATGGACGCCAATTAATGCTATCATCGTGATTAGGGAGAAAGGCTAGTTCAATCTGCAAGACTCACTTAAAACACTTAGAAAATGGCATTGAAATTTGAAGGTGTTTGCGTAGAACGCAAGGTCTCTAATTGACTAAAAACGGCTTACAGACCTCTATACTTCGAATTTTCAATTTCGCATTTTGCCTGAGTTATATTTTACTGAGGATCACATTAGAGTGCAATCCTCTGTAAGAATCGATACATCCCCGATTATTTATTGCTTTCAGACGACTGCATTGGAAACTGCATACCAGGAAAACGTCAAATGTCCTTGACAAATCCAAAAATACGATTTGATGGGGTTCGTTTATGGAAGTTTCATTAAACCTAACTCACATGAATAAATGAAAGTGATGTGTCCCCAGCATAGTCACCGTCTTAGAGAAACGCTCTGTATAAAATCGATTTCGCAGCCTACAGCCCGTTAGACTTTCAGCGAAACTTTAATCGATTGTTAACTCTTCCCACGCTCGCACAACTAGCAATATGGACGGAAAAAGACAATCAACAGCTGTTTGGGCAAGACGAAGGATCACGTGAGATGACCTAGGTGGTGATACTTCTCCTCTACCAACAATGGGATTGTCTACAGCGCGATGACGAATTCGATTTCCGTTAAAGGGCCTCCCAGACGCTGCTAGACGTGATTCAGATTCAGAATAAGCTTTATGTAGTCTCATTGGCCACGCATTTATGGGGCGTGAATAACGTTTTAGTCACTTACCTTTGAGGAACTTGCGGAGTTTGTGTTTCTGCATTTCTGATATCTAAGACGAAATGGAACTTATTTCGCAAAACTATTTCCGATTTCTACACGGTGCGCGCCTGCTTATAAAGCCTTCTCAGAGTCCTCCGCTCCCTGCTAGCGGCGAAGCCAACACCTGAACGTTAAAGCCAAAGATCTTCAGGGAGATTTGACTGGTTTTCCGACGCCCGAGAGAGGATCTCACCAATGCTCGCTCGTTTACGTGGAGTCCACACTGCCCTCTGGCGTCTATGGTATTCAAGAACGTGATATCCTAGCCCTATACCACTTCTGTGAAAACCTGGTACATTTTGCGAGGACCAGGTCGTGTGTGGCACGCCGAGACAGACTATTTGGCCTTTTCAGCCATTGCACTCGCACCCACCTCCAGTCGTCTTCCCATTGTCTTCGTAGTAAGTTGGATGCGGGGGAGGGAATGAGGTAGATGCAGCGCAAGTGTGCCCTAATGTAGACTAGCTCGGTCGGAAGTGTCACCGGGGTCGCGCCCACGCAGTGGAGCACACGGTGGACGACGTCGCTCGCGACGGCCGAACGGCCAGTGGTTAAGGTGGCAGGGGAGTCTCAACAACATCAATCATTGGACCAAGTATCGGCAAGCAGAAGAAGACCGAAAGCAGCCTAATGAGAGATTTTGCACCGCCTTGGCGGTCGACTACACATTTAGCCCTGATCGTGCTGTTCGCAATCCCTACGAGAAAACAAATACCCTAGGTGTACCTAATGCACTAATTATGTGAAAATGATTTCGTGTTCCTGAAGTTAATACTAAGCAGAAGTACTGGTTGGAGACGAGGAATCTAAATTAATCAAAATCACCTCTATTTCAACGTCAGTGACATTTTTGACGGAGGGATACAAACCTTCTTCGCTCCTACCTACATCACCAGGGCGTGACAGATTCTTTGCTTGAAAGAGGTGTCCTTACGTTAAATAACGTGCTTTCGACTTTGTCAGAAAGGATATAACAGGATACCTGCTATTAAATAAAACTTTTCTGCTATTCGTGTTGTTCGATTTTAGATATAGCACCCAAAACTAGGATTAATCAAACCTTTGCGGGGAAATTCGTGTGACATGACAAACGGGGTAGTAATTAGGTGCTGGTGTATAGTCGCCACTAAACAAACTGAGTTTCTGAAATGATCAGTCCTTCCGGGTTACAATCATAATTATTCGAAATGGATGTAAGCGAACGGTATAAACGAGTAGTGGGTATGCCACTGCATAACTGACAAGAATGGCGGCTCCAACATTCATAGTAGGTGGTTAGAGACTGTGAGATAATGACCTTATTACCGCTCCAGAGTCGTCCAATGTTGCAACTTCATCACTCGTATGGGTTCTGTCTGTATAACTTTGCCTCTGATGACGGATTTAAGTGTGAATCCGAAACGTCAGGCAAATAAAATTGTAATTTTAATGATCGCGTCTCATTCTTTCCAACTGTTTCTTAGAACTCGCCTATTCGCTTCTAGAGTGGTTATTATTTAGCTGTCTACAATATGTTATTGGAAGTAAAATGGAACTACCACTATAAGGCAGGGGTTTAGATATCGAACTCTCGTTTAAGGACACTTAGGTTCACATCAGGTGAACCGTGCCGGTATTACAGCGGTCAACATCTATTAATGAGGAAAATATGTTCACCGATCGGGCTACACTACGGAACGTTCACCTAGTTTTATGAGTTGTATTCCCCTTCTGAGGGGGCCAAGCCGCAAGCCGATTGGTTTTCTAACTGCTTCAGGAAGTGTGTGTTATTCCATCCTCGGTCCATTTACAAGTAAACGGATAGGGTCTACGTTTGAGTTCAAGCATGTAATTAAATCTCGAATCTAATGCTGCTTGTCTTTTGAATGAGGTCAACAGAGCTGCCATTGACGGTAAAACGATCCGCCAGTAGGCTAAAAAGGTAAGACAAAATTAGCATGGAGGTAGGAAAAAACATTAGACAAGACTAGATCAACTGCTCCGTGGTCGCAGAAAAGAGGGAAAGCAGTAGTGAGCTTAGGTAAGCCCCACAGCCCCACTAACCATGAAAAACAGCCTGATGAAGAAAAACTCCCTCAAAACATTTGGTCATGTCAGGAGCACAACCAGGAGGTAGTCATATCTCCATGTTAGAAGCCGTATGCAGCATATCTCACCCCCATGGTAATTGCTGGAGATCTACTACAATATGCGACTTATTGATAAGCTTCAAAAACAGGAAGGCCAGATTAGGGCCTGCCAAAAAGTATCTGAAAAAAACCCTGTACACTGCTGGGCAACGGCTTATGAGCAAATTAGACATAGAGCAACCTTTGTTAGAAGAATGGGAAGAGAAGAGTTCGGGG